TCTTAGTTACATCCGTAGATGGGGAATCATTCACATTCTCATCGCATACATTGTTCGCATTCTCAGCAAGAGATAATAAATAAAGCTTGTCTTGTCGGAAGGCAAGACCAACACATTTATTATTAACCAGTATCTTACACTTGCCATCACCAAAATGGCAATCAATTCTATCATCATCAAGTTTCGAAACACTTATCAAATTTCTACGCAAAGAGGGAACATAAAGTACTTCTTTAAGTCTAAGTACAAAACCATTATTCAATTCTAAAGAAAAATCTCCAATGGCTTCAACATTGGCTTGCACTCCATTTGCAACTTTAATCGTTCTTTCTCCTCTTTGCAAGGTTCTCGTCCCACTTAACCCCTTTCTTTAGCAGAGATTTCAGGAAGTCTGGACAATCTCTCTTGTAGTGTCCCTTCTTGAAGCAGTGCTTGCACTGATCTTTTTTAGCTCCACCATACTGCTGATTCTCAGAATCCTGGGGTTTCTTTCCCTGTGAACTGGAGGAAGAGGTCTTATCCCACTTAGGTTTCCCTTATGGTTTAGAATTCTTGCCATTAAAGTTCTTTCTTTTGTTATCCTTCACAAAATGAGCAGATTCACCTTGTGGGGACTTTATCCTCTCCTCTTCTTGAGCACACATTGAGATGAGTCTTTCTATGCCCCATCTTTCAGGCTGCATATTGTAGTTCACAATGAAGGTGTCATATTCTTTTGGCAAAGAAGCAAAAATCAAATGAATCAGGAAATCCTCCTCCTTCAAATTCATTTCTTTTAGCTTAGATGTCGTAGTGTTCATCTTCAAAATGTGCTCTCTTATGCTACCACCAGTGAATTTCTCATTCACAAGCTTCTTAATCAGTGAACTTGCTGTGGCCTTGGTAGACCCAGTAAACTGACTCTTGATTTTCTCAAAATATTCTTTGACAAGAGCACATTCTGTGGATTGAGCCCTTATCCTGCTCTTCTATGGTGGCTTTGGCTACCAAAGCAGCACTTCTTTGTTGGAAAGAGTTCATTGGCTATGTTCAAGGTCATATTTCATTCTTATTTCAAAGATGATCACGCTTTCGAAAGCAAAATAAATTAAGCGCCGGATTCATTGTCACCTCTCACCGGGTCCTCTGGCTCAGTAGGACATGGTGAGGTGATGGCAAAATCGACCTCTCCCAACGCAAGTTCTAATTCATACTTCTCCCGCCACACACGGTGATTGGTTCCGTTGGGTGTCGGGATGTTGGCAATGTTCACAATGCATTTGCCTCCTGAAATCACACCAGAGTAAGTAAGAAACATTTATACGTAAAATTTCATGCTTTAACTCAACGTTGGTCAAATTAAAACTTATAATTCATCCATGCAAACATTTTACATCACCGCTAAGCGTAAGTAAAATTAATACACAATTTCTCATGGATCAAAAATTATAATATTGTTATTAACAACGTTGGTCGAAAAATAACAATATCATAATCGCATCAAAATTATCGAAATTATTTCTCTTAAAATTAAATTATCCCGTTGGTTCAAATTTAATTAAAGAGAAAAATAATTATCAAGCACAATGAAACATTAATAATCTTTTCATATTATTATTTTCCAGAAGCACTAAAAAATTCACTGTTTTCTGAACAAAATATCGTTGGATAAAATTTGCACAGAAAATTGTGTCAAAATCATTCAAATTCATCAAAATATGCATTTAAAATTGCTCCTGGAAAATAATAAGAAAAATTTTCTTCTTCTTTCATTTCATTGCCATGCCCAAGACGAAGTTGAAAACCGCTCGCCCAGTTGTCCTCATGCACAAGACAGTCGCAACTCTGGGCTGGGCTTCTCAAAAGTGTCACATACCCCCTACCGCTTGGGGGCGGCGAGTTGGCCCACAGATCTCGACCGCTCGTTTCGATCCGACGGCCGAAGCGTCCGCTTTCTGCGGATCAAAAACATCGCCATGCCGACGCCTGAAACCCTAGCACATTCGTCCTTTCCTTTCTCTTCTTCGCCGCCTCTCATCATCTCTTCACCAGAGCGGCCGAGCCGCACCCGAGAGCGAAGGAGCGACGAGCGAGCGGATCTTTGCGCCGTCGTCGGCCCCCTCGCCGGCGCGCGTGCTCCCCAACGGGTGAGCACGCCGCCGTCGAGCGGCCTGGCCGCGAGGCTTCCTTGGCCGAGCTCGGCGAGCCAGCGCCCCCGGCTCGGCTTCTTTTCCCGCCTCATGAGGGTGGCCTCGGCTTCATCCTCAGCACGCCGGTGCTGGTATCGGGAAGTATCGCATCACAAGCGGTCTTCTTCTCTCGGCGAGGGCCGATCATTGTTTTTTGTCCCACATGGCATGGCGATGCCACCGGCGGGATGAGGGCCCAGGTAGGACCCCATTCTTGATTCATGTTAGGGTTAGGGTTAGGTTGACCGATTTGATTTCTTCCCCTTTTTTTGTTCATCCGAATGGGAAAACTAGGGTTAGGATTAGGGTTTCGACCCTTCTTTCTTTCTTCTTCCCCTTTTTCCACTTTCGGATTTGTGTCTAGGGTTCTCGGAATCCAACCCTCCCCTTTTCCCTTCTTCTGATTTGATTTGGGGAATTAGGGTTAGGTCTTAGGGTTCAGCTTTCTATTTTCTTTCCCGATCCGCATCAGATCGGTCGGTTTCACTTCCCCGATCTGATTTCTTGTCGAACCGTGGCTCCAGTACCATTGTTAGAGTTTTCTTTTTAGGCATATTCATCAGATCGGGATACATAGTAATAGAATAGGTGTTCGGGATTCACAGAGAGGCAGAGAGAAAGGGGTTGATAGGTAGCAAACCATCGAAAGCCGTAGTGGTCAAGCTCCGCCGGGTTTTAGTTGATTTGACGCCATCTCGCATGGCACGGCGACGTTCGATGGAGAGGGAGTCGGCGATGTGGCGCCCCTCGGCGCGGCGGGCAAGCGTCGGGTGGCGTTGCCGGCGTCGGTGGTGCTTCCCGTCGCTGGCAGCGCCCCTTCTCAAGATCGGGTCTAGGGTTAGGATGTCGGTGGGGTGACTGGCGGCGCGGTGAACCTCGCACTACGAGCCATGGCCCCCACCTTTCCTTTATAGCGCTGTGCGACGGGAGTCCACCAACCATGTATGGTTGGGCGCCCCCGATCAGGGCGCGAGAACAAGGCCCAAAAAGGACGTTTGGCCTAACTGGTGGGAGATCAAACCTAACATATTATACACATGGACTTGCGAGGGTCCTCCTCCTCTTTCCTCGGCCCGGTGACACCTTTCTCCACGTCTACGGCGTCGGAGCTCGCCTTCGACGACATCTTTCCATCAAGCCTTCAGCCAAGCGCGCGCTAACGGAAGTAGGAAGGGGCTCCGCGGCGACAAGTTCACGGGTGAACACGTTCGCGGGTGAGACGGCGGAAAGAGTTTTTTTAGGAAGGCCCGAGGAGGGGCAGCACGCTGTCTATCTATATGGCTGGTCTGGTCGATAATCAATTGCGTTGCGAGCTCTTTCCGAGCACGTTAAAGCGAGGCCGTCCGATCCCGATTACCGTTTCCTCTCCTCACCTTTAAGGCTTTAGGCGTTGTTTGGAACATGAGAATTTTTTTTATTTTTCTGTGTTTTTCTTATGAAAATGAACTGATTCATGTGAAATTCCCATACAGTTCTGTGAAATTCTTGGGTTGCCCTTATCCCTTCCGACTCAAAACTAAAAAGCCGACCTCGACGCGACGCCGCCAGCGGCCGTCTCCGACGCCCCTCCCGGCTGCGCTCTCGGACTCGGAGCCGTCGTCCAAATTGGAATCGACTAGGACGCAAAATGGGAATTCGTTGCTGGTGAGCCCCTTCTTGTCGGGATCGGAGTAGTTGATAATAATGCAACCGAGAACGCGGGTGATCTTTGAGTTCCTCATCCTTGCACGTGCACGCTAATTATTCATGAACGAATCATGAGCAGGAAAAGCCAATTAGGTATGGTGCCGGCCTGCCAGGCTGTTGAACCAAGTTGCGCAGTTGGCCTTCGCAGATGACGGGAGAATAAGAGCTAAGCTTTTGATTCAGCATTTCAGCTCCTGTCTCCTGCTACTAGGCCCTGTTTGGCAGAGCTTCTCCATCAGCTTTAGGAGCCGTTTGGAGCCGTTTTCTGTCAAACGGGGTAAAGTAAAATAACTTCACTGGTGAAGCCCCTAAAAACATATTCTCATAATGATTTGGGATGGGATGGAGCAAAAAAAAAATGGCTTCTCCCGGCTTCTCCTCCAGACCTCTAAAAACATGCTCTTACAGGAAAGCCATTTTGCCAAACGATTTATCAAAACCGCTTCAGCTCCACCGGTGGAACTGTTCGTGGAGCTGAAGCAAAAACAAATAGTTTCACTAATGAAGTGAAGCTCTGCCAAACGAGGCCAATAATACTGCTACCATCACCTGTGCTACTCTTCCGGCTTCTGTAGTTCTGGTGCGTTCGTTTTAATTAATACGTACTATACAATGGATCTGATTTGAATATTGCTAATTGCGATGGTTAGGTGAGGATCATGGCGGCGTGGCCTGTCTTTGCACCCAGATTGGATCGCTCCAGCCTCCAGAGGTGGATGAGACGTCGCTGTTAAGATAACTGGGGCGCCGCCACTAAATTGATTAAGTGCGCTGCACCGATGATAAGGTCATTGTTACGTTATTTTCTGATGACCAAGGAAAAGGTGGCCTGCCACTGCCAGTGCCAGATCGGAATTTCCTGTTCACTCTTTTGACCTGTCGAAATCGAGTCAGAATCAGAGAAAGCTTTGCACTTCCTCGACAGAATCGTCGTAGCATCCGCAGCAAGAGGAAGCGGCTGAGGCGGTTGAAGGTGGAGAGAGTAGCTCGGGTGAGCAACATGGCGGAGAAGCTGACGCCGGAGCAGGTCGACGAGTGCAAGGAAATCTTCGACCTGTTCGACGCCGACGAGGACGGCAAGTCACCATCCCCCTCGTACTCCGATCCACCGCGCGCGCCTAGCATAGCTCCGAGCCCTCAACTGACATGCGCGTGCTTCTTTGTTGCTCTCCCGGTGGCGGTGGGCATGCAGGTCGCATCGCCACGGGCGAGCTCGTGACGGCGCTGCGCTCCCTGGGCCAGAACGTGGACGAGGCAGAGGCGCGGCGCTTCCTGGAGGACGCGGGCGCGGGCGCCGGCGCCACCATCGACCTCGCGGCGTTCCTGGCCGTGGCGGCGCGCAAGATGGGCGCCAGGCAGTCGGAGGAGCGCCTCGCCGAGTGCTTCGACGTGTTCGACGACGCCCGCAGCGGGTCCATCCCCGCGGAGCAGCTGCGGCAGGTGATGGTGAGCCACGGCGACCGGCTCACGGAGGATGAGGCCGACGCGATGCTCCGCGAGGCCGACCCGACCGCCGAGGGCCGCGTCGAGTACAAGCACTACGTCAAGGTGCTGCTCAGGGACAAGTAGTGATCCGGTGACCCCGGTGATCCTTTGCCCGCCGGTGGCCACGAGCGGTTCAGTTGGGGAGGAGGAAGTCAACTCGATCTGCTCTTGATCATGTACGCGTCCTAGCAGCGCCGCTGAATTATTGTCACGGCACCAGATGCAGTGGATCGTTGCTACCGATTTCTTGAAGTTAACATCACCAGTTGTGTAAGATATCTCCGATCACAGCTTTCAAGACCAACTCCGTTCGCCGTAGACCCATCGTCTCCCAGAGCACCGGCGCCGGGGCTTTTGTTCAGGAACTCCGAGGCTGATGGCTGCCCTGGATATGGGCCACCAAAGCTTGTCATCAGAGCTTTTCTGGTGGGCTGGACGGGCCGCAGATAACATTCTCGATCCCATTTCGGCCTTCGTAGACGGTAGACGTCCTCAATGCCAGCCTGGCAGCCGCCACACGCCACGTCGTCCGCGTCCTAGCCACTCACGAACGCGCGACGAGACACCGACCGCCTCCTATCCACTTTCCCATCCGCCAGACCGCCAGCGGTCGGACCACCTCTCGTCTCGAGAGCGCCGAGCGGATGAAACTCGTCGCCGCGCTCGTCTCCATGGCGGCCACAGCGGTGGCCGTCACCACCTCCGTGTGCACCTCCTTAGAGCGTAGTAGGGGCGGTCCGAACGTGAGGCCCCAGGCCCGTCTCGCCCGTTCGCTCCAACTCGGCAGGCCGTCGCCGCCTCGGAGGCTGCGGACGGCCTTGGCCGCGTCGTCGGGCAAGCAGAAGCCGCCGGGCGAGGCGGAGGAGAAGGTCCCCGCGTGGGCCAAGCCCGGCGCGGACGAGCCGCCGCCCTGGGAGCGCCAGGGCGGAGCCGCGCGGGGACAGGAGGAGGCCGGGCAGGTCCCGTTCTACGGGTACCTGCTCGCGTCCGCGATCACCGCCATCGCCGCGGTGCGTGCGCTTGGTGGAACCCCCGCTCTCCTTTTCGCTGCATGCGTTAGCGCATTCGACGGCATCGCTCGTCCGAGCGCGTGTCTCGTCTCGGCAGAATCTTTACTGACGAAAACGGAACTGCTCCGCAGATCGGCTCCATCTTCGAGTACACCAACCAGCGGCCGGTGTTCGGGATCGTCGGCTCCGACAGCGCCCTGTACGCGCCTATCCTGGGCTTCTTCGTCTTCACCGGCATCCCGACCTCCGTACGTATCCCAAGATATGCGCCGGGCTTGCCTGCCTCCCCATTGCAGCGCCTGTTTTGTCGCTGACTGAAGATTGTCCGTGTACATTTTCAGGCGTTTCTGTGGTTCAAGGCCGTGCAGACGGCGAACAGAGAGGCCGAGGAGCAAGACCGCAGAGACGGATTCCTGTGAAGCTCTGAGGGTGCCTCCAGCGCACTCGCCGGCGCCGTTGCGCAGAAGAACACGCAGCGACGGGTCATGTTATGTATGTCACTGTATTATAGAATTGGAGAGAGCAGATGGATTTGCGGCGGAAATCAGAGAAAAAGGAATAGACAGATAACGAGTAATAATTTTTCTATATGCATGGAGTAATATCTTGATCGCCATGGTATGAGTGGAAAATATTTATATTTCTTTGGTTCAAAACCGTATTATGTGTTGCTTCTTGCTTTTAGCATGTTTTTGGCAGTGGTGCGTATGGCTCTTTATTTTGATACCAACGATACTATGTATCCCTGTTACCCTGTCGTTTGACATCTCAAGTTTCAGCTGTGAAAATGGATGGGTGCCAAAACTCTGGCAAACTTTGTGTCTGTTGTCAGCACGTGATATGCTTTCTTTGGTTCGTAGTTTTATCGTTGGCGTTGCTGGGGTCTTGATGCTTTGTTGAGTGCCTAGTTTGGGTTTCTTTTTTCTTTTTAAAAAATAGTCGATACCTGGCTGTCCGGTTCATTAAAAAACAGCTGAAAATGAAATAAAAAAGCATTCCTTTTGACTCCCTTTGCCTTGTTTGAGAGCAGCACCGGAAGGTCGTGAGCATTCCTTTAGCGGTGTCCAATGATAAAGTCTCGTAGACAAAGCTGCATTGAGAAGGCTCTTTTTTGTGTATATATTTAGAATCGCAAGATAAAGATCTCTACAAAATACACATCAACATACCACATTAGTCAAATGGTATTTAGGGCCTCTTTGGTTCATCACCTAAGAAAAGTTGCTTGGTCAGGTAGCAATCCATGCTATCAATGTTGAGTGCGTAACGGTCAGGAACTTACTTGCTGGTCGCGAACCAAACAAACCCTCCATACGTGAAGGAACATAATTCGAGGTCTAGATTCTTAACATAATTTTCAACTTTGACTCATTGAGTGTTTGGTTCACTAGTCCTGGTTTTTGGGTGCCAAATAAAAGGATTAAACATGATTAATTAATTATGGGTAATAAAAATTATTGGAGGATAATTGGTGGTCAAAGTTCACTTGCTCATATTAGTCCATAATTAGCTCATCCACTCATGTTTAGCCCATCATCACAAGATGTACTAATTTTAGCATTTGCATACAAGCACTCCCTAAATTTATAGAAAAATAGTATCAACACTTATGACTCTAAATACATATACTATGAAAATACTCCATCTGTTCTAAATTATAAGTTGCTTTTGACTTTTTTGGTACATAGAATTTGCTATGTATCTAGACATATACTATATATCTAGATGCATAGCAAAATGGATGAACCAAAAAAGTCAAAGCGACTAAATTTGGAACGGAGGGAGTATATTTCATAATTTATTTAATTATAATTATTTGATATTATGAATATTATTGTTTTTGCATATATTTGGTTAATTTGAGATGGATTGACTTAGAAAAAACTGCAGTTGTGGCTCTGTTTGGATACAAATTGTTTTTTTGGAGTTTAAAAAAATACCATCGTTCTGTGAAATACTTTGGTTTTAGAGTGCCATAAAGTGTTTGGGTGCAACAAACTTTGTGGTTTTGAGTACCATGTTATTAGTGAAACTGTAGTCTTTTGGAGTTTTAGAAAACTCCACTTTAGACTTCTTTTTTTCTAAACCATGGTTTTGCACATCAATGATTCTAAAACTATAGTTTCTTGATACTATGATTTCTTAGAGGATGTTTGGGACTTCTTCGCTTCTATTTTTGCAACTCCGCTCCACCAACTCCACTATGGAGCAACTTCACTATGGAGTTCATGGAGCAGGTGGTATTGTTTGGCACAGAGTCTAGCTCCAGCTTTAGAAATTGGTTGTTCCCTTACATATGGTCTATTATACCCCTGATTTACATTTTTTTATTCTAAATAGTACTCAGCACATGCATTAGCGTCTACTATTGTTCATTTAAGGGGTTTTTCTTTTTATTTTCTTGTTGGAAATAAAGAATTGAATAATTTGAAAAAGGGATAAGAATGTTGACCCTAGGGCAGCCCAGCTGGTCAACGATCTCACCTTTTCCCCTTTGCTGGAGCACGGAAGCGAGTCGCGAGCGTGCATGGCCAGGGGAGTCGAACAGATGGTAGAGTGAACCGGTGATTAATAAGCGGCAACATGGGTAATTGCTCCTCAACTCCACGTGTGAGTATAAAACTCTAAAAACTAGAGTACCCTTTGAGGTGCTAAGAGAAAATGTGGAGTTGACATCCAACTTCATCCTTTTTTTTAGCGGAGTTTTTGGAGCTGAAGTTATTTGGCAACATAAAGCTAAAACGGAGCTGCAAAAAGCGGAAGCGGAGCAGTCCCAAACATCCACTTAATACTACAATATCACAACAAGGCCTATATTTTCTTTAAAACAGAGGAAGGAACCCTAGTTCTGATTCGACGTTGATGTTATCAAACTCCGTTGCCCTGCATTTAGGGGTTAAACCCGAGGGACCCGAACTCGAACGTTTATGTTCTCGTGGCCTGGTCCCCAATCCCCCTGCAGGCCTGCGGCAGTATGTATCCGGGCCTGCCACCTCCTGTGCTTCCATTTGAAAAAAAAAGTTCTGTACATGAATGTATTAAAGAATTCTAACAAATCGAAATAGTTTACTGGTTTTTGGTGAAGATTGTGTTAACAAACTGACTCCATGGTGTAGCTCGACAGCAAACCGGCATTAAGGTTGCACTTTTATAAAAAAAAATCCTGAACATGTAGGAAAGCCATGCATCTTTGTATTAATAAGGAAAGCAAGAACCTTTACAATACGCACCCACATACCCAATGATCTAGAAACTTTCGCACTTTATGCTTACAAAAAAAAATGACCTCGGCCAAGAAACCAGATACCAACTGGTTGCCTACAGGCTCCAGAGCAAGAAGAAAAGAAATGGGCACGAGCCACAAGCCCCTGCAAGACTCCAATAAACCATCTTCTCAAGGGGCGAGCTCCAAGCCTGCAAAGTTCTAACCAAACTAGGAGAAAGGTCATAAAAAGCACACTGGTTACAATGACTCCATGTCATCCAAGCCCAAGAATTATGGTCGAGTTTAACCTCTTCCTGAGTTTAACCTCTTCCTGGCCAAGTCAGTCGTCCTCATGTATTTTTTTAAATGGATGAACAACTGAATTCACATAGCAAACCATTTTCTCCGGTCAATGTACTAGCATCTTTAAGGGCTTCAGGGTTAATGCCTTAATGGAGATATGAAGAGATGGAAATTGATGACAATAGCCTTGTTTTTCAAAGACTACTTCAGTAGTACTTTTCAAATGAAGAAACAATGTTTTACTCTCACAATGAATAAGCATCATAAATACTAAATTTCAGCGAAACGAACAGGGCCAATGACTGAATGTGCATAATGATTGAATCATTAGCACTAGCAGATTGCCTGTGTTATTCAAGTGGTTCTGATTAATTCGAATGTCGTGGGTATTAGCTTACATGGAGATAGAAAAACTGAGGCTGTCTGAGGTAATCTGCTGGGAGGGCGTTGTTGAAGTTGCAAAGATATACAGTACATGTACTATGTCTTGAATCATGTCTTTTAAGTCCGGTAATGACTTGATGCAAAGAAACGAACTGAAAGCTTGTCAGTTCTGTGATGACTTGCTGCAAAGATGCCAGTAGTTTTGTTTTCTCCCTTGCTTGACTTCGAGCAAATACTCCTATGTCAGTTGTTGTTAGTTAATGATTAGTTTTTTCCCCTCTTTTAGGGAATCGAAACGACTACATATGTGCCCATAGAACACTCTAAGTTTGCATTGCTAGTTTATAGTAATATTTTGTATCCATGTTAATGGAAATTTTGGTCTGAGACATTTTCTTTCTTTGGAGTCCACTAAGATCTCGTACATGTTGGCAATACAATAGTGCTTGCACTCTAGCATAGGGTTGTTTTTTTTTGGTACAGATTCTTGTGATGTACTCCCTCCGTCCCATTAAGTTTGTCGTTGGAAAACCGTGCCCCCCTCACAATCCCGGTTCCCGAGCGACAAACTCAATGGGACGGAGGGAGTACTAGATTTGTCGTCTCTCAAGGGGGCTAGCGCTAGTGGCGGTCCTCTCAAAAGATACCATCCATTCCTTAGAGAGAACTCTTTATTAGGCCACGTTTAGTTGGTACACCAACTCGGCGCCGCCAGATTCTGCGGTCACTGTAGCTACAGTAGCTTATTCGTTTTTATTTGGTAATAATTGTCCAAACTTTGATTAATTAGGCTCAAAATGTTCATCTCGTAAAGTACAACCAAACTGTGTAATTAGTTTTTGATTTCGTCAACATTTAGTACTCCATGTATGTACCACAAGTTTGATGTGACGGGGAATCTTCTTTTTGCATAGTGCCAAATTCTGGAATTTGGGAGAACTAAACAGGCCCTTAGTTGAAAGCTGACCTTAACTTTCATGTTACAGGTACTCCACGATGAATTCAACAGCATAATCTACCGGTGCAAGTTTCGAGTCTCTCCTTCTCTGTGACTGTGTCCTGACCCTTGTTCCTTCCATATGCAACGGAATACTTTTTTTTAATTACACAGCACAACATAGATGTTTATAACACCGCACATACAATCACCCCTATAAACACACGTGTTGGTGTTTCGGACCAGGGGATCCTCAACCAACTAGTGAATTTGTTCTGCGTGCTCCCGATCCGGATGGTGATGCAAAGAGACACAAGGTTTATACTGGTTCAGGCAATCGAGGCCCTACTTCCAGTCTGAGAGATCGATCTTGTATTCCTTACACCGAGGTGCTCGTGTAGTAGGGGGTTACAAGCTAAAGGAGAGAAGGAGCTGGTCCCTAGGTCTCGGCAGGTGCTGTCAAGGGCCGCTTGAGACGTTGCTCTCCCGGCGGCGAGTGTGCGTGTGTGTTACAAGGTGTTCCCTCTCCCCTTAAAACAACCCAGTCCTCTCCTTTTATAGCATGAAGGAGGACTAGGGCGGTACATGAG